CCACCTATCCATTCATCCATTTCATTCACCTCCTTGTCATCGCTCTTCCCATACCTCCATTCCACAATGTATCAACCAATCATTCATCCCAACCTTATTCCGTCTTTGCGTTCCTCTGCCCCACTTCGTGCATTACATCATTTCCAGCTACATTTACTTTATCCTTTCGACGTTGCAATCGTCCATCCCCTTATTTTATACTTTTTCCAATCCGATTGGAAATTCACATTGATATTCTATCTACAGAATGCACAATTCTCTTTTTTGATACTCCAGCTACTCTCAGGGGTAGGTTGTTAACTCACATTTAAAGTTGGCAACTTTGACTAAACGCAGCCAAATGAATTGCACAAGTCCCTGTATTTAACCAAATGGAATGACACCCACGCATTGGATAGATCCCACCTATCCAGTTGTCAGTGATGGCTGTCTATGCAAAGGCTTGTCCATCCCTCGATGCCAATGGAACTGTCATCCCAATTCATTCCGAATGCTGTATTTTCAGTCAGCGTTTGCACATGCAGTGGTCCCTCCCAATCTACTTCACCGCCTATTGTCAGTACGTAAGATGGTTCGTCACGCTTCATGTTGGAGCATGTGAGAATGTTTTCCAAAAGGTAGTTTATCGTGAGTCTTACTTGAAAGAGAGCGAACAGCTCCCCTCTATATTTGCTAAGCTCCAGTAGGAATACCCTCCCTCTACCTGACCTCACGGCCTTACCCATCAACACACCTCTTCGTAGAGGCCAATCTGATCCAACCCAGACCAACTCATCTCACAAATTCTATTTTTCATCCATCCACATCCTCGTCGAGTGGGCAGTCCCCACCACCTTCATTCAGTGAGGCAACTGACAGTCTCACTCCTCATCCACACACCTCCCTGCCTGCGAGTTCAGCAATCTGCTGCAAAGCAGTCCCATGGAATACGAGATCTAATGGCTCTGAATGTAGTTAACAATAATGTGTGGATCATGATGCAGTTTGGTGATCTATCATCTCCAACCAGATTGAGAGGAATGAACTATTCAAAGGCGAAGCAAACGGCAACTGCTCTATTTACCGTGCCTTCTAAATATCACAAATCAACTCAAACACAAATAATATCTTTGTTTTATTTAGAAAGAACGGACGGCCTTGCGATGTTGAAGAGAGGTAATATGTAAATCAAGGGGTCACTTTGATGTTCTCTTGCCGCCACCATTTGTTGACGAGCAAATTAGCAGTATCACAATCATGATGAGAGCGGCCTGAAAGGTAGAGGTAGAGTGTGTCAGGAAATGTCTTCTCCTCACGATACTTAGTGGTGGTGCAAATAACGGGTTTGGGACTCACCTGTGACAGAATTGCGCAAATAGAAACAAACAATAAACTCTTCATGCTTGATGCGGCAAAGTTGACGATTTTGTCTCTACATCCTGGCATATTAACCGTTTGTGCTGCCTGAGGATCACACGGACTAGCTGTCATGTTGCAACATTGTACTGGCGGCTGTTTGCCCAGTTTAACTAAAATGGGCAGCAAACAAGTATTAAAGGTACAATAGCAGAAGCGGATATCCCAAATTATTCCTAAACCTACCGAAATCACCGTAGCCATCCATGCCACAGCATGTTGGACCCATCTGTAATAAAAATAGCCAATTCAAAGGTATACAACTGATGCCATTTTAAGCGTGGTAGCAAATTAATTCGTTTCAGTTACATACCGTCATAGATGCATTCCAGACAGCTGTTGACATTTTTCCTTCCTCACTTCCATCACCAAATAACCGGAGAAGTTTTTCCATTGCTTTAAGAATCAGTGAAGTCAATTTGGTGGGATCAGAGTAAACCACGGATAAGGCGATTATTTGTGCGACAAGTAGAATAATCAGGATGATGACATACTAGTAAGAAAAAGGGAAAAAAACACTGTGAATAATTTGATGACTTCATTCGTTGCCAGTTCACCTCTCTTAAGTCCACTTACAATCTTCAGCAGTGCATTGTGCTCGCAACATGAAGCAATGCACCCGATGAGACAGAGAGCTGCTAGCGCCAATCCGACCACAACGAGGATTATAGCGATACCATCTGTAGGAGATAAGTTACTACCGGGTTATGCCATTTCGAAAGTACTTGTGTGTATCAAAGTGGCATGGCGTGATTTATGATATCACCTACCTGCGTTTTCAGTGATGAATCTAGCCAACTGACGCAAATCTTCATCACTAACATTAAATTGATCAAAAATCTTTGACAACAGCTGTTGAACCATAAATCTGGAGAATTTTAGTAGAATTCCAAACACTGCGACGGCCAGGAAGGCCACCTGAAATGGACAAGAAATTGAGTGCTGCTTCGGCAAGAAATGGTGAGGACTATCGCATGCCTATCACATCACTTACACAGAGGACGGTATTGAGGATTTGAAGAACGAGCTTCAAGCCACAGGAAATAACGCAGCCCATGCTGAAGAGGGAGAGGTAAGAGGATAGGATTGTGTAAAAGAAGAGTAAGAAAATCCC